CCATTTTAAATTGGAAGAGGGGAGATTTAGAATAGAGACCAGAAAGAAATTCTTTGCTGTGAAGGTGGTGAGGCACTGGAACAGGTTGCCCAGAGAAGCTGTGGCTGCCCCATCCCTGGAGGGGTTCAAGGGCAGGTTGGATGGGGCTTGGAGGGACCTGGTGTGGTGGGAGGTGTCCCTGCCCAGGGCAGGGGGGTTGGAACTCAATGATCTTTAAGGTCCCTTCCAACTCTAACCATTCTATGATTCTATGAAATGTTTCAGGGGGTTGATCCCAGTCCCCTGGACAGGTTTGAACCTTGTGCTTTGGGGGAGAGCAGCTGGAGGGGTCCTGCTTGGTCTTAGGCATGACCTGCAGCTGATGTGGGTCAGGTAGGCAAAGTTGGGGTCCCCCAACAGCGTGCCCATGGCCATTCCCTTAGCCCTACAACCCTTGCCAAGCCAGGTGAAACACCAAACCATGGTTCTCCTTGAGAGCCCCCCAAAATTGAGGAGGGCAGGGCTTCTCCTGCCTTGGTTTTGCAAACAGGGGGGCAGTTTGCTTCCCTGTGGTGGTGGTGGTTGTGATGGCCCAGCAGCTCCCAGGGCTGTGGTGCTACAGGCACCCCGTCACCCGCTGGGGAGGTCCTTCCAAGGGCTGTACATCTGTACATCTCCAGAGCCACGCTGGCTGTAGTCATCCTGACAAGCCACTGGATGTCAGTGTTGATTGATACAGATGGAGCAGAAGGAATATTTTTACCCAGCTGCAGAAAAACAGTCCCCCTCCAAGCGGTGTGGGTAGGACCCGGGTCTGGCTTGGACGTGGGGGTGAGGTTTCCAAGGGAACCCGTTTGGGGCTGGTAAGAGGTTTCAGCGGGACGGTGCAGTGATTCAGCAGCCCCAAAAAATGTGGAGCACCAGGGCTGGGCTTCACGTGGCTGCGTTGGTGTCCTGGGGGGCTAAAGGAACTGGGGCTGCCCCTGGACATCTGCCCGGGGAACCAGCCACCAGGTCCAGGTGGGGATGTGGTGTGGGCAGCACCAGGTTTTATTCCAGCTGCCCAGTCTGGTTTGGGTCTTACTGGCCTGTTGTCAACTGTTGGGTGCCAGGGACCCTGCGGTGGTGGCACTGTTGGGACCCTGCCCTGCTTTTGGCAGCTGCGCAGAAGCCAGGCTGCATGCTCCTGTCCACAGCAGCCACGCAGTTTGCCTTGTTCTTAAATCCACTGTGTGGAAATACACCTTAGAAGAGCCTTATTCTGCCTCTGTCTTTACCACACATGCTCAAAAGCCGGATGTTTTGAGGGCACATCAGTGCTTAGAGATGCTGTGGGGCACCCAGCAGCGCTCCAGGTGAATTTGGCATCACAGGCATCGCACCCCCTTTTTGGGGGGCACATAAAGCACCTCTTTTCCAACCCACACCTTTAAAACCCAGCCCCAAGTCTGCCCAGTGGAGAGGCTGGTGCAGGCTCAGGGGGAGCCCGTGCGTCGCAGTGAAGCAAAGCCCCTGCGCACTCCCCGCGTCACCGGCACCGGCCGCAGACGTCGGTGCAGCATCAGCGTCTTTCTCCTCAAAACCTGCCCAGAAATCAGCTGGGGGTATCAGCCTGGAGCAGGGCGAGGGCTTTACCAGCATCACTCCCTCCTCCCTGGCCGTCAAAAAGGGGCAGGTTGGTCAAGGAAAGAGTGTTTGAAAAGTAAATAAAAAAAAAAAAATGAAGAAAAACGTGATAGCGTCCTGTGGCAGGTCCTGAACGTGGCTGGCCAAGGGGTGATTCCTGTTCCCAGCCCTGAGCTGCTCCCCAGCAGGGGAGGTTCAGGCTGGATATTAGGAAAAAATTTTTCACTGAAAAGGTTCTCAGCCATTGGAATGGGCTGCCCAGGGAGGTGGTTGAGGCACCATCCCTGGAGGTGTTCAAAAGAGGGGTTGATGTAGTGCTGGGAGGTATGGTTTAGTGATGGTGATGCTTCTTGTTTGTTGTGTGGGTGTCTATTTTTGTCAACATTAGGTTGATGGTTGGACAAGATGATCTTTAAGGTCCCTTCCAACCTAGAAGATTCTGTGATTCTGTGATGGGATTATGGGCACGGGGTATTTTCGGTGGTGCAGCAAACTGAAGGGATTCACCAACGACTCAATGATCTCCTTCCAACCTTCCAACCTAGAAGATTCTGTGATTCTGTGATGGGATTATGGGCACGGGGTATTTTCGGTGGTGCAGCAAACTGACTGAAGGGATTCGCCAATGACTCAAAGATCTCAAAGGTCCCTTCCAACCATGAATATTCTGTGATTCTGTTGTCGCCTTCTCCTCCCGGGATGCCAAAGGCAGTGTGAGGCTGTGGGTCAGGAGGCATCTGGCCAGGACCGTGGGGTGGCCCCATGCCTGTAGGAGGCAGGGCAGGTTTGGTGGCAGCGAGGGGACACGCTGGGGATGGGGTAGGTGCAGGGATGCCCTGTGTGGCAGTGATGCTGGTGGTAATTTTGGGGATGTGGGGTCCTGCCAGCTCCCTGAGGATCCAACCTGGATGAGGACTGAGTGCAGGTCCCGGAGCAGCAAAGGCAGGATGGGGAGCAGCCGGGGGGGCTGGTGGGGGGTTTTTGGGGGGGACACGGGAGGGAGATGCCAGCCCTCCCACTGCTCTCCCTCATGCCATCCTCCCTGCTCTCCCCTTTCCATGCTGCAGTCACTTGATGGCGTTGGTGACACAATCTGTGTGGAGCAGCCCGCTGCCTCCCAGCCCCATCCCAAGAGCCCTGGAGCAGGGAAACAGCTGGGAAGAGCCCTCCCTATCCCCGGTGGGGCAGTTTTTGCAACTGGCATAGCAGGCAGGGCTGGTGTGGGGCTCCTCTGAGCCATGCTGGAGCTGCAGGAGAGGTGCAAATCTCCTGGTGGGCTTTATACAGGACAATCACGGGGCTCTGCATCCACTGAGGGTCTCTCCATACTTGTGCTGGCCTGGGTGATGTGGTCCCTGCTGGTGGAGGACCTCCCATGGGAGGCATGTCCCCAGTCAGTGATGGAGAGGTGAGGGGCTTGGGTTTCAACCATGGCTCTGCTCGAAGTCCCCGCAGCCAAGAGAGCTGCCAGGCTGAAGTCACCCTCCTGGAGCCTGAATTCACCTCTCTGGCATCCCCATAATGAATTGCAGTTGTGCCTGGCTGGTAAAGAGCATCTTCTCCTTGTTATTTCTTGCTTGCTTTCTTCCCTGAGGCAAAATAATCCCCCCCCCCTCCTTCTTCCCCCACTTGGCATTTAATCACTTCCCGATATCTTGATGGCCTCTGCCACGTCTTGGCAGCAAGGCGACCTTCATTATCTCTCCCCGTGGCGGGTGAACTCTTGCCAGCTTCTGACTTTACAAGCCCTGTGAGCATGGCTTGGAGCATCCCAGTGTGTGACAGCCTCCCCCGGGCTCACAGAGGACTCTGGTGCCGGAGCATCAGAGCTGGACATGTTCCTGCATCTCCTGATCATGCATCCCCCAATCCCCGTGGGCAGATCCTGGCATGAGCAGCCTTTGTGGTGGAAGGAGAGGATTAAATCAGGAAGGGCTGAGGTTGTTGGGCTGGGATTCAGGAGCATACCTTGAGATTACAGGAGATTTCAGGCTGGATATTAGGAAAAATTTTTTCACTGAAAGGGTTCTCAGCCATTGGAATGGGCTGCCCAGGGAGGTGGTTGAGGCACCATCCCTGGAGGTGTTCAAAAGACGGGTTGATGTAGTGCTGGGAGGTCTGGTTTAGTGATGATGCTCCTTGTTTGTTGTGTGGGTGTCTATTTTTGTCAGTGAGGTTGACGGTTGGACAAGATGATCTTTAAGGTCCCTTCCAACCTAGAAGATTCTGTGATTACTGCCCTCTGTCATCTTCTCCACTGCTTGATTTGCTTGGATACCCTGGCTGCTCTCCCCCATCCCAGCCAGCCCCACTTACTCTCCCTTGCTCTCCCTTTTTTCCTCCTTTAGTGCCTTTTTCCTGCCTGGGAACTCAGTGAGCTGGTGGCCTTGATGTCTGCAGTTGGCGTCTTCCATGGCATTTGCATATAAAGGTGGTTTTAATAACGCAGGACTGCTAGGAAATGAGAAACTGGTGTCTTTCACCGCTGCTGGCTCCTCCTGGGCCCTTGTAAATCATTGCATAAAGCATTGCAGAGCCAGCCAGGGAGAACTGCTGCCTAGCAACTTCTCCCCATGCCCCAGGGGAGCTGGATGTGGCCCGAGAGCAACCTGAAAGGTCTCCTTTGAAACCCTGGGTCTTGGGGGAGATGAGCTGGAACAGAGGAAAACCTGCTCAAGGGAAAAAGAAAAAATAGAGTTTGAAATGTAATTGGCAGAAGTAGCCACTTTGCATCTGAATGTCTCTGCTAAGCAAAGCGGAGGGATGAGTCAGCCTTTGCAGGAGGGATGTGGAGATGAGGGGCAGCAAAACCCTGCCACCACCCCAAAATGCAGCCAAAGGAGGACAGGGAGGATGCCTGGCTCTGCCTCCCTGCTCTCCCTGCCCTCATGCTAAAAGAAAACTCTCAGGGTCTTAACCTTATCCTGGAGAAACAGTCAGTTTGGAGGATAATCAGAAGCAGGAGGGCCATAAAAAGATGTTAACCCATTTTGCCCAGGCTCAAGCAGTAGGTGGGTGCAGGAGCTGGTGAAACGTGTGATCCACCACTGCAATGACAATCTGTGGGGCTGCCTGTCCCCAGCCAGGCAGGTTTCACCTGATCCTCCTCCCTAGAGCTGGCAGGGATTTGGGGGCAATCATTTTGCATGGTGTGTCCTACCAGGGTCTTGTCTCCATCCCTGTCTCCACTGGTGGAACCATCAAGCCCAGGTCTCATCCTGTCCTGGGTCATTCACCTCGCTGTCCTCAGGGCTACAGAGGCCAAAATGCAAGAAGAGGGGACATGTGGGTGTTTTGGGCACTCATTCATTTGGGTTCCTCATTGATTCTTGCCCTTCCACCTCTCTCCAGCTCACTGTGGGTGACCCCACTGTCACCAACAGACCCCCAGGAAGATGCCAGGGCTGATTAACCGGACGACCTGCTCCCCGCTCCCTCTCACCGCCTCGGAGGTGACATCATGTGTCAGTGGCTATGCCTTCGGGATGACAGCCCTGCTCACCTACCGCAACCCAGAAGCCCAGGCTTTTGAAGGCAAGTTTCAAGGGGTGAAGCTCCCGGTGGGAGCTCTAGAGCCAGGGATATCACAGCACTGGCTTCCTGTATGTGCCTTAAACCCTGAGATGCTCGCACGAAGAGTAACCAAGTATATTGTGTCCTCAATTCTAGCCTTCACAGTCCAAGGCGACAATTTTTTAAGTGTGAAAAATCCCAGGAACATGCAGGGAAGTGCCAAGAGGGACCTGCCCCGCTGTGGTCCTGGCTGGTGGGTCCGGGCAAGTGCTTGGTGTTGCTAAAACCCCTTCTGGCTGGCAGGTCTCTTCGTCTACCCCTTGGATGAGTGCACCACCGTCGTGGGGTTCGAGGCGGCCGTGTCCCGGCGTGCCGTGACGGTGCAGATCAAAGACAAAGCCAAGATAGATGACACATATTTCAACGGCTGCAGCCTCCCTGGTGGAAGAGCTCGTGATGGAAGCGGTGAGGGAGTCAGGGGTGTTTTAGGGGGAAGAGGAATGGGGAGGTGACAGGGGGTGGCTGGCTGTCACGTGCCGTGGCATGGAGGATGCTCCTTTTGAAAGGCTGAGCCTTGGGTTGTGGTGCTCCTGTCCTTACAGTGTTTTCCAAAAGTGCTGGTCTTATCCGTTTTGGAAAGCACTGTTGCTTCTGGACAGCTGAAGGGAAGGCTGGGGCTGGGAGTCTTTAGAGGAATGCTGACAACACAGTGAGGGCTGGTTTGGGTGTTGATCCAGGGCTGGGGTGGTCATGGGAGGGCTGGGGAGGAGCATTTTCCATGGTTGTGACACTTCATCTCCCTGGTGTGGTCCTCTTTCTGTGCAGGAAGGATCATGATGGACGAGGACTTGGAGAGGATTGTTTTTGTGGCTAACCTGGGCATGATTCCTCCCCTGGAAAACGTCTCCATCTTCATCAGCACCTCCTCTGAGCTGCAGACGCTTCCCAGCGGGGCCGTGAGGGTCCTTCTCCCGGCTGTGTGTGTCCCCAGGGTCCCCCAGGCCAGCCTGGAGAACACCAGCAGCCTTTCCAGCCACCAGCTCCGAACGTACGAAAAACCATGGGGGTGGGCTTTGGCTGGGATTGATGTGGGGGGATGCAGGACTGGCAGAGCAGAAGCCTGCTGTTGCTGCAGGAGGCTGCAGAGCTGCTGCAGGCTTTACCTCCAGCAGATCTGCAGTTCCCCAGGGGAAAAGAACATGTGCAAAGTCTTGATGAGGGTTCATCTCACTGGCAGGGACAAGCATTACTGTGGATCGGGGAGCCCGGAGCAAGGGAGCAGGTTCTGCCTGGCTCAGCTGCTGGAGAGTGAGGCCACCAACCCCTTCGAGTATGATTTCAGCTTCCACCTGGAGATCCGGGGGCCGTGCTTGCTGGCAGGTAGGAGCGCCGGGACTGTCCTGCCACATCAGGCTGGTGTGTCCATTTTGGGCCCCTCATGACAAAAAAAAACATCGAGGTGCTGGAGTGTGTCCAGAGAAGGGCAAGGGAGCTGGTGAGGGGTCTGGAGCACAAGTCTTGTGAGGAGAGGCTGAGGGAGCTGGGGGTGTTCAGCCTGGAGAAAAGGAGGCTGAGGGGAGACCTTCTCGCTCTCTCCAACTCCCTGAAAGGAGGGTGTAGCCAGGGGGGTCAGTCTCTTCTCCCAAGGAACAGGCAATGGGACAAGAGGAAATGGCCTCAAGTGGCACCAGGGGAGGTTCAGATTGGATATTGGGAAAACTGTTGCCACGGAAAGGGTTATTAAGCCTTGGAATGAGCTGCCCAGGGTAGAGGTTGAGGCACCATCCCTGGAGATGTTCAAAAGCCGGGTTGACATGGTGCTGGGGGACATGGTTTAGTGATGGATTTTTGGCAGAGTTAAGCTGATGGTTGGACTGGATGATGTGAAAAATCCCTTCCAACCTTGGCAATTCCATGATTCCATGATACTGTAATCACCTCCTCAAGGCCGTGTCCACATTCTTCCTCTTTCTCTGCCTCCCTAGCGGGGAGTCTGTTTTGGCAAGTGAACTGTGCTGGGGCTGATGTTGATACAGCAAAAGCATCACATAGTCCGCTTGGTTCCTGTCCTCTGCCATCTTCTTGTCTCTTCTCCCTGCTCTTCCCCATCCTCAGTCCCTAACTCCACCATGGTTTCCCCGGGCAGGTGTTGAGAGCCCTACGCACGAGATCCGAGCGGACGCCGACCCCTCTGCTCGCTCCGCCAAGAGCATCGTGATCACACTGGCCAATAAACACACCTTCGACAGACCCGTGGAGATCTTGATCCACCCAAGTGGTAGGTGGGCTCTGCTTCCTCCCCGCTGCTCTCGCCCCTTCCTGGGATCCTCCTCCCTAGTGCTGGAGACAGGTGGATGAGCTCTGGTTTTGTGAATATTGCCAAGGGTTAGGCTTCCTAGGAGATAATCCTGGACCTTCTCAAGGTTGTCCATGCTGCCCAAGCTCAGAGATGTTGCTCTGTTTTCACCACCGAGGGTGCTTGCATCTCTGCCAAACCTGAAGTTTAACTAAGGTGGGCTGCCCAAGCTCAGAGATGTTGCTCTGTTTTCACCACCGAGGGTGCCTGCATCTCTGCCAAACCTAAAGTTTAGCTAAGGCGGTTTTTTCACCCGATTCCTTGCATTTCCAGAGCCCCACATGCCTCATATCTTAATGGAAGAAGGTGATATGACACCTGCAGAGTATGAACGACACCTGAAGGGGAAGAACGATTTCATTAAAGGCACTAAGAAAGACCCCAGCGCCGAGAAAAAGGTGAGAAGCAAAAGCTGCAGGTGTTGGCTGAGGCTTTCCTTGGGACTGGAACCACGCAGGTAAATGATTGCTTGATTGCTTCCAGTCCCAGATATTAAACTGGCCCAGTACAATGCGTCATCCTCCCTCGGAGGGGGGCTTCTGTGGAGGGAGAGGGAAAAATTCGGCAGTGCTTCTGATAAACCGAGTGTGGAAGCAGCTCTGAGATGGTTATTGTGTGTATAATTAGTGCTAGTCTAGCATAGCATAATTAGATAGGTACATTGTTACAGCATTAAGGGTATTATAATTATTGCAATGACATAGAATAAAATATTCTTTTAATTGCTCAGTAAATGTTTACTGTTTCTGGATAGCTGTCAGGGAGAAATAAGTGATTTTGCTTGGAATAATGAGCTGAGCTGAAGACAAGGTAGGAGAAACTTCTCTTTGTTCTGCTGATCAGCAAATAGAAAAATATCTGCTCTGGGATTTGTGCCTCGTCTTTCAGCAATTCTGAAGCAGTGAGTGACAACCTGGCACTTCTGAGCTGCCACATCAGTCAGTGTGTCTGGGATCCGTGAGGAACCCTCCGAATTGCCAGGGTGGGCGTTCTTCACCCTAAGGCACACGTTGTGCCCATGTCACCACCACCCCAGGCTGACTGTGTCAGCTCCCTCTTTTACGTGCACCCCTCTTCTCCTGTGCAACCAGGGATGCTCATTTCCCCTTAAACTCATTCTCCACCTCTCGGAGCCTGCTCTTTCCCCCCTGCAGCTTGGCAGACATCCCGAACCTGCTGCAGAGGTGCCTCCCTGGGCTGCTGTGATTTCCCCTTTCACCGGAGACACATCAACCCCCTTTTCTCGTTCCTTTTGCCCTTCCCTTTTTCCCTCACAGCCCAACGTGGGGATGGGGACTGCGCTTGCTCGCGCGGCGGGCGTCTCCTCTAATTGTCTTCAGCGTGTGGCAGGTGGAACGACATGAAACTCCCACACTAGGGCTCAGATGGCTCTCTAATTATTTTTGTGTCTTTAGCACGTCAAATCATCTAAGTGTGTGTGTGTGGGGAGGATCATTCCAGAGTCATTTCCCTGCAGGGAACCCACCTCTTTGCCCCAGGAGGATGGGGAAGCGACTGTACGGAGAAGGGCAAGAAGCAGGGAGAATGCCCCCAATATGTGGGGTGGATTATGGGCTAGAACTGCTGCTGCTCAGACATGGGGCACCTCGCAGCTTAAATGAATTAGCCCAGAAATTTCAGCAGTGAATGATAATTAATTGTCGTCCCTGGGTTTGTTATGCAAAAGCCTCGCATGCCCGTCAGCTAGCAGGGTGTGTGGGGGGATGAATGCACACAGGAATCCACTCGCGGCCACTCAGACAAGATCTGATTAGTTTACTGTAATTGGATAACGGGTGAAGGGGAACGGAGGGGAGGGGAGGTGAGGAGAAGAGACGGCGCTGATGAGATGCTCGCTTTTCTGGCTGACCTGCAGCAGCTGCTGGGAGGCTGTTTACAGAAGCCTTGCCTGTAAAATTCACTCTGAAGTCAGTGGGAAATCCTGGCTGTGGGCTCAGCCCCATCACGCAGAGATTTTATGTCTTGGGTCCCCAAGAGCATCCCAGGAAGGTCCAGAGCCACAATTTGGTCGTTGGGTAGAGAGGCAGCAATTTGAGCCTGCAATTCGATAAACATCCGTGCTGGGAAAGGTCTTAAAGAAAATAATGTCAGGCATCTGGAGGAAAAACGGGGATGGAAAAAGCCCTTTTATTTCCCAGTGACTGATTAATTCATGCTTGGGAGCAGGAGAGTGACATGCAGGAGGGTGGTGACAGTGAGGTGCTTGTTCCTGTGAATGGGAACCCTCTTTTCTCAGAGGTCAGAGGAGCAGCACTCCGGCGGCGCAGCCGAAAGCGGACGGGTGTGTTGATCCACAGGGACTCGTGTGTTATAGTGAGTTATGTAAAATAAAGGCTGGTGGCTTAGCTGGTAGATCTAGGAATATGACTCACAGCTGGAGGAAACAAACCCGGTTATTTGGGGTCTGGTTTACTCCTGGTGAAACCAGCAAAGAAACAAGCAGCCTTTGAAAGTGAAAAGAAAAGGCGAACAAAGCCCTGGAGGATGGAGCTGTTTATTGAGGTGGATGTTTCCCTGATGCAGACCCGGGGATGAAAGGCCAGGGGTTGTGCTGATGTGGGGTCCCGGAGCTCCCTCGAAAGCAGGGATGCGCTGACTCACTGCAAGCTGAGGCCGTGAACCCGGGACTGCTTTATAGACAGGCAGCAGCAGATTATAAACCCATCACCAGAGGTTTTTTCCCAGTTTAATTTCATCACGTTGTTAATGGAGATTGATACTTGAAATAGAAGGAGGCAGAAGGCAGAGAGCCATTAGAGCTGCGTGCGGTGCAGAGACATACATCACACCGGTTCCTATCGAACCGTGTCCGGGTTGGCTTTGCAAAGCTTTTCAATCCATACAAAGAAAAAATGATAAAAGAAAGGGGCAGAAAAAGCAGCAAAGCGGAGGCGGCAGGGACGTACGGAAGCGGTGAATACGGCACGCCGAGGGCTGTGTCTGCCACTTCATTATGGAGTGACCCCGGACGACACCTCCGATGTGCCTCGGCGTGGTGCTGAGCTGCACTAATGAACCACGTTTTCAGGAGGGATGTAATGAAAAGTTTGGAGAATTGGTGTTGCAACGAGCTGCGCGGGGCCGGATCTTTTGATTTCTTCTCCAGGCTCTCATCTGTGCGTGCAGGGGGGCTCTGGTTTAGCCTTTCTGCCCGTCTTTGTCCCCTGGGCAAAGGGTGACACGGGCTGGGAGGAGGCAGGTTTTTCACCCACGGAGCATCTCCTCTGGGGGTACGGACAGAACAACCCACGGCACAGCCTGAGCTCAGGTGTTGTCACCACCGAGGCCAGAACAAGCCCACAAAAGGCCACATATTTCCATTTTGGGGCACACAGTGAGAAGGGGGTAGAAAAAACAACCTCTCGAGCTCTCTCCTTCTTTCTTGCAGACAGAAATCATCAGGAAGCGGCTGAACAAGGACATCCCCCACCACCCCGTCGTCATGCTCAACTTCTGCCCTGACTTGAGGACCCTCCAGCCAGACCTCCAGAAAGCCCAAGGAGAGTTTATCTTCCTCATAGACCGCAGCAGAAGCATGAGCGGGGTGAACATCAACCGTGTCAAGGTACCACGCAGGAGGGGAAGTGCCTGCGTGCCAGTGAGGGATGAATATTAGAGAGCAGTGGGGGTTGCTGAGTGCTGATGAGTGTTCATTATGAGGGGATGGGGGGTAATTATAGGCTGTAGCTTTAGTCATCTCAACCGTGTGGCTTGTTAGGTACCTGCAGGGAAGCTGACTCTCCCCCGTTCTGTTCCTCTTCCTTCTATCAGCACATCAAATGTTTTCTTTCCCCCCTCTTGCTGGTGTCCTGTCCATCCCTTCTTCAGTTCTCCCTGCCTCCGGGAGGGCTTCCTAGTGAGGAGACCTCCAGGGAAAGCTTCAGGGCACCATGCTCACCAGGGATTAGGAAACATTTTGTTAATGGACACCTCTGTGCACCCGCCGAAGTTGTTTGAACATGATGCATCCCCTTTTCAAACACAAGTGAACACCAGCGGTCTGGTGGAAGCTTATGGGAGGTGTGTTGAGACCTCTGGATAAAAAAAGAGGGGCAGTAGAAAGGCCTTGTCATGATCTTCTGTGGGTCTGGGGTTCCCCTGCCAGATATGACTCTTACCCAGCTGCAGGTTGCCCCATGAGAGCTGGGCTTGGCTTTGTGCCATTGCATGAAGGACCTGGAGAGGTTCCTGCCCCCAGCCTGCTGGGGACCACTCCGTCCAGCAAAGATGGGGAAATCACTCTGGTAACTATTTAATTATCCCTGCCTAACGCGCTTTGGAGGCCAGGTTGGTGTCACAGTGGCAGCCAGTTGGTGGGTCTTGGTTAGAAGCTGCAGTCTTTGGCAAAAGCTCTTTTGGAAAGTTTCTGTCTTGGTTTTTGGGGCCAGGTAAGCCCTAATGGTTTGATGAACATCACATTCTCCTGAGCGGGCCATGGGTCTGTGCTGCCCCATGCAACTTTTTTGAGGACAGTGAGGGAATTACAGAGGCAGGCATCATCTGAGGGTTTGGGTTGCATTTAGATATCTGATAGCTTCACTGAGCTGGTGTGTCCCCAGGTGTCCTGCTCACACCCTTTCCTACCAAAGACAAGTGTCACCCAGATTTGGACCCAAATGCTCCCCCGGGTAAGGCTGCACCCCTCTCTGCAGGACTTGCCACCCAGGATGAGCAGCAGGGAGCATCTCCTAGCCCATCTCCTTACCCGTCTGTCTCCGGTTTCCATGGGAACTGCTGGAGGACAGCCACCTCCAGCAACAAGGATCGGGATGCAGGGAGCCCGAGGATGGAGGCTGTCCCCTGTCCCTGCATCCACCAAAGGGGCTGGGATATCTCTGAGGTTGTACCTCCTACGCTCAGCAGCCTGGGAATCAGGAGGCATCTCTGTCCCCGGCCAGAGTTTTGCTTTCCAACCCCCAGCATGGCTGGGTTTGGGCACTGCATTCTCTGTCATCTCCACGGAGGCTGGTTTGTCCCATGGGGATGGGGACCCTGCAGGGACAGAGCCCTTCTCCAAGAGGTCTGGCCAGGTTTGGGCACTGTGTTCTCTGCAGCCTCCATGGAGGCCACTTTGTCCCATGGGAATGGGGTCCCTGACAGGTCCTGAACTGGGAGGCTTGTAAAAACAGGAAAAAAGGCTGTCCCCCTGCTGGAAAAATATTTCAGGGGAGTTACCAGAGATTTTGGAGGAGATAGATACCTCAAGGGAGAAAACCACTGGTTTTTTTTTGAGTCCCTCATCCTTGTTTATGACTTGCACATATCAGGGAGCTCCTGGCAGCCCCTGTTCTTGGTGGGTCTGGGTGGATTATGCTTGATGGAGATACCTGTGTCGTCCTCAGGGTGCTGGGCAAGCCAGGTGGCAGGGCTTGGAGCTGTGGAGCAGTGGCACTGGCAGAGATGCAGCTGGGAAGGGGATGGGAGGACACGGTTCACTGCCGAGCAGGAGGACAAAGCAGTTGGGGTGGAAAGTTCAGGGGTTTAAATTTCCTGCAGCTGGTTCCTTCCCCACCCTGATGCAGCCAGAGAGAAGAGCCAGGCCCATGACGGTGCCCGCACCGGGCGGCCTCACTGGCAAAACTAGACTAATAACTGGGAATTGACTTCTCTGGAGGCAAACATCTCTCCTTATTGAGCTGCCATATAGATATTGAGCGCAACAGGATCAGGATCAATATTTACCACAAGAAGCAATAAATCTTTCCGCTCGCTGAAACAGAACACCGGCATCAGTTGCCCACTTCGGGGAAAAAATCTTCAGAAACCTGTTTTTTTTCTTTGTAATAAGTTCTGAGGTGGGGTGTCAGCGTCGAGATTTGGAAGAACCGGCATCCCAGGAGCCATCTGGGGAGCAGAGGTATAAATATCCTCTCGTAGGTTTGAGATAACAGCTTGGTTTAAAGTCCCCTGGAGCCTCTTAAAGGGCAGCCCTGTTCTCCTACGTTATTTCCCTGCTTTGCCGTGCTCCAGCTCTGCTGAGTCTTACGGGGGGGTTGGGACCTGGACTGAGCTGCCACCCGTCTCCTGGTGGCTCTTCCCAGGCTGGGGGTTTCTCTACGTGTCACTCGGTCTTTGCCACCATGCGTGACGAAGCAAGGAGGCTCCTCTGGCTCCTTTGACCTTGGCAGCTCTTCTCTTGGGGCTGGCTCTAGGGTTTCTGCTGCCCTAGGCAGACTGGCAGGAGTCTGCCTGTATCAGCAGATAAAGAACTGAGCTGCTCCCGAAAGCTGCCACCACTTTGCTTAATTTAAAGCAATTTAGGCCTCCTTCTCCTGCCACCCTAATTGCTCCTGCTGCCCCTGCAAGCTCAGGAGCTCCTTGGGCAGCTCTTTGCCCAGGTGCTGCCAACTCAAGCTCTGTCCTGGAGTTGTCCGTGGCCATCACAGAACTCTGAAACAATTCAAATTGTTCTCCCCTTATGTAAAGACCAGGAATAGGCAAGTTAGATAACCACCTCTGGTAAAGAAAATAGCTTAAATCTGTCTCTCCCGGTTATTTTAATTGATGCCAGCTATGAATACAAGAGAATTGGGGATGGGGGAGGCTTTTCCTTTTGTGTAACTTTGAGCTGTTTGTTTATTTTCTGCAAAGTTTGGACATTGAAATGCGTTGCGTGTCGCACTTCTCAATTTCACACTCTGCTTCTCACCCACTAGCTCCGTGCTGCAGTACCGTATTGCGAGCACAAATTTAATCAGTTAAAAACAAACAGAAAAATTTGTTCAGCTCTTTTTCTTTTCTTTTCTTCTTTTTTTTTTTTTTTTTTTTTTTGAAACCTCCCCCCTTT